ATAGAATAAGACAAAAAACTTCTGAAGAATTTTTTCTGAAGCTACCGCTCTCTGACAGCGGGACTATTTGCGAAAGGAGATGTTACTCTGAATTTTTTTTAAACGCACCTTTTTAATGCTGTATGCACCACAAGCTGGATTCCAGTCACACTCCAGACCACAGAAACTGTGCACTCCCCTTTTTTGTGGCAGCAGGTTTTTGGAGTATTTTTAATGCGTTAGTCTTCTTTTAGACAACTTTTGTGTTGCTTTAACGCACTGTTCAGGTTTTGTCTGGGGCAACGTCACACCCCTGATTTATTTTGCACATGTCTTGTGGCATAAACTGCAAAAACATTCCTTGTTAATTTCAGTAGACTTACTGGCATTGTACTCCTACTGTAATCTACATCAGCAGACTAACTCTAATAAAATAAAGTGCATTTCAGCATAGAATATAATCACAGTAGGTCGCCGGTAGTATTTCAGAGGCGTCAGCATTGATATTCAGCTGCATTTACAAAAACTGCAAATTGCTGTGCAAAAATTCTTGCATTTTTATAGTGTATCTAATCTTTCTGTGTTGTTTCTGCTCATTTTTGCTGAGAAATACTCTACCCCAACCTTCACCATTTGCATTCTTTATTCATGCATGCGCCTATATGCTTACCAATGTGTGTGTGTATGTGTGTGTGTGTGTGTGTCGTGAAAGAGAGAGAGAAAGGGAGAGAGACAGAGAGTTGCAACTTGTAACAATAACTTCCTAATTACAGTTCCCCAGTGTTTGTGCAATCTTCCTGAAATGCTAACTAGCCTCCTACAGGGAATATGGTACATTATTAATCCATGTGCTCGCCTGAGTGTGCGCATCCTTTGCTGGGAAGTGTGTGTCTGTAGCACGCCCGCGTGCACCTCTGTGTGTAGACGTGTGTTTATTTGCGCTACCCGTCCCTCTCCCCTTCTTGTGCACATGCATTGTTCGCATTCAGCTGAGTACGTGTGCATGCCACGGCTGCTGTGGCTGCACGTTGTGCATGACTCCATGAGCGTGGAGGTGTTAAGTTTTTCCCCTTTCAACACAAGTAGCCTAATCTAAGACTTTTGTACAACCAACTTGTATTTCTATTAAGAAAAAGAAGGAAAAACAATAAATGTAACACAACATTTTGCAGTAATAGCGCAGTAAAGGGGAAAAAGGTATTCACATTCAGGCCCAGTCAGCACTGAGGTGCCACATTAACTACGGTATGCAAGCGGATTTGCTTCCACACGACGGGGTATTCCCTCTCAACAAAGATCAACATTATGACGAGAGCTTCTGCCAGCACTCTGCACCAACATGCTTAATATGGGGAGCTGGTTTCTGTTGAAATATGGATGGCTTTGACAAATAAAAACTGGTGAGAGTTGATTCTGAAATTAAGCTGGGGATTTCACCAGATACACGCCCTGTGTTGCTCTCTTGCAGCGACAGCCAAAGGGGCGAAAAAATGCAATAAGTGGATGGGAGAGCGAGGAGTGAGCTCCCATTACATCGCCGCGCTATTCCTGAAGAACTTGCCCCACAGTCATGCCTCTAGGTACTTGGATTGTACTATGGATGGATAGCTCGCTCTTGGGTCTACAGTAAATGAGACAGCAAGAGATGGAGAGAAAAAAACGTCTTACAACTTCAGGAGAAGGTTAAGAGCACCAACTGAAAGCAGTACAGACATCACCGCCCATCAGTTTTCATTCATTTAGTCCTGCGGACATCCTGGCAGTTCCTCTCCACTAAAGTTGTCACTTCTCATTATGGCTGATTTTTAGTGTTGCCACCTGTCTTATTAGAAATGTAACCATTAAGGTCGCAAGATTTTTCCCACTTGTGCCGCTTTGGCACAAAATGCTCTCACTGTGGAGCTGCTTGCAAAGAGATGTTGTTTGGCTTAGTCGTGCAAAGCTTTTAGGTCTTAACAACCAAACAAAGCAGGTTGGTAAGCACAGGTTTGTAGGGGAGAAGGGGGGATGTCCCTGTTGATTGGAGAAGTGTACTGCTGCAGCAAGCACTGCAGTGCTAATGCAGGATGAAAGCAAGATGAGCGACCTCTAAGATAGTTATCAGTGAATTCCCAGGATAAGTAAAGACTTCACTGTGACAGAGGATCTCCGGCCTTAAAAAGAGCCAGTCAACCATTTTAAAATCCCAAAAGCATAATGTCCTAAACTGAGTCATTGAAACTGTTAATGCTGGAACTACCTCGTGTCTATTCATGGTGCCAGGAGTGGGGCCATGCTCCTCTCTCGCTCTTTTCTTTCTATCAATCTTTCCTTCTTCCTTTTCTTTCCTGCTCTCCCTCTGTGGCACTCAGCCAACAATTGGAGTCAGTCAGTGGAAAAACTCTGTTAGTAGTCCATGCCCTATGGGACAAAGTGGCAACAACATCCGTTACAAGAGATAGTGGGGCAGTGGGCAGGAGGCACGAGGCACAGAAGCCAAAATTTAACTGGCTGAGTGACTCTGGCTCACACGCGTGCACTTAGCGGGCTGCTGTGTTTATAAAAAACACGTCAGGGCTGTTTTTAAAGGTGTGGTTTATGGCTTCACAGCCAGTTTATTCATTTATGGAAAAGCTGTGGAAACAAATAAAAGCATGGAGGGAAGGAATGAAACTTATTTAGCAAAGTCTGGAGCCACCACGAGTCCCAGTGTTAAACAGCGCTGCTGCTCGTCACTCTGAATGTGTGAAACTCTGTTGAAGTGATGTTTGCATGATGGCGATGAGAGGTAACAAAAGGTCTCCCAAAAATCTACTTTAAGTATTCAACAGGGTTCAAATCCGGTTACTGTGAAAACCATGTGAATACACTTCGCGTTATTCCAGTGTTCATTAAGTCAGTCCAGCCCACCCGGTGCCCTATTAGGAAGAATTATCATTAATTAGGTTTCTCTACTCGTATTCAGTTTTTCCTTTAAGGGATTCACCATTGGTTTCACACAGGAAGTTTCATTTATTTGTCACAATGATCATGAAACCTGAAAAATAATGACTTATGCAGCTCAGGAGGTGACACTAAAGTTTGACAAAAGGTCTAGTTAGGAGACACAATATTATGTTTGGGATTCGTAATAAGCTGCTTTAATTTTGACCTCATTTTGGTCTAAATTAAAGGGAAAGAGAAGGATTACAAGATGGTAGTGAGACCGACTGTGATGTATGGTTTGGAGATGGTGGTGCTGACACAACAATGGGAGGAGGAGTGGGTGGCAGAGTTCAAAAGGCTAAAATGATTACTGGGAGTGATCAGGATGGACACAATCAGAAATGAGTACATCAGAGGGACCGCTCAGGTTGAGCAGTTTGGAGACAATGTTAGGACACAAGGCTGAGATGGTTTGGACATGGGCAAAGGAGTGATTGTGGATATACTTGACAAAGGAAGTTGAGGATGGAGAAAAGAGGAAAATCATAGAGGAGGTTTGTGGATAAAGTGAAGGAGGACATGCAGAGGGCTGGTGTGACAGAGGAGGATGGTAGGGACAGGTTGAGATGGAGGCAGATGATCTGCTGTGGAGACCCTTAAAGAGGAATTAGCAGCCTGTTGGGAAAAATGTATATATAAAAATTAGCAGACATAAAATAGCATTTCTGTGTCAACAAGGTGATTCTCGAAAGAGCTTTTAGTTGAAAACCTGGCATATCTTGGCATAGTGTGCAGTGTGTCCTTAAAAGATTTGAGGATACTGGACAAGTAGAGGACAAAAGGAGTAGCAGGCCTAAAAAACTACCTATAACAGAACAGTATCTGAAAGTCGTGTCCTTAAGAAATGGAAAAGAAAAATCCAACAAGGGCCTGACACAGGACCTCAGAGATGCATGACTTTTAGTTGATCCATCTACTGTTCACTGTTCACTGAGGCATCATCAGAAGGTCTCAGTGGAAGGCTGTCTGTCAAGAAGCCATTGTTAAGGAAGAGAAATGTGGAGAAACGACTGAGGTGTGAGAAATTATGGTGACCCCTGAAGGGAGGAAACCAACAGACACCCAATTTTCACCCAATCTCATGTTCTCCCAACTTTAAGGTAACATAATACCAAATCCCAGGAATGCCCCTTTTAATTAGTCACCTGCACCTGCACATGGTCAATTTCTTCTATGGTGGGATTTTCTACAGTGCAGTGGTGAAGGTGCTCTGCGTGTTTAGAGGGGGAAAACAGAAATTATGGAGAATACTGTTTCGGCATCATATGAGTGTAAAGTTATTTCCGCTTGAGAATAAAGTAAGACATCTACAGCTGAAATAACGATTTCAAAACATCATCAACACAGAGGAGGGGGGGAAAGAGTTCGGAGTGCAGGATTTTTCTCTCCGGCGACCCGGCTTGTGTGGAGCCGCTGTCCAAGGTGCTGAACACGGGGCTGCAGAGGGGTATGAAGGCTCTGGCACTACAGAGCGTCCCGGGACGAAAACTACAGTAAGAGCAAGTGACCGAGCTAAATGTGAGCAAAATGTGGCCCCACCTCAGAAATATTACCAAATCCTGAGCAGGCTTGCATCAAAATCTGAACAGAAATTACTTGCACGGAATTGAGCACGGTGTCTGTCCATGTCAGGCATGCATCCACCGGACTGATAATGTAAATCTGGGTGTACGTACTGTATCTGCGCCCGCATTTATCAATGGACTCATGAGGATGGAGATAAGACAGTCAAGACAAGCTGCCTGGGAATAGCCATTCAGCAAATCCCCCCCCCCCGTTCACCACCAATGCACGCGCGCGTGCACACGCACACATAGAGAGAGAGAGAGAGACACACACACACACACACACACACACACACACACACACACACACACACATTCTTAGACACGGGCTTCAGTGTCGGTAAATTCGGAACCGCAGGAATGCCAGAGCGCTTGACATATTTCAAAGTTGCCTACGCAATGCGAGTCCAGCCATCACGAGAAACACACATGAAACGCACATGAAAGCCCTGCACGCAGTTCACACATGCTCCTCATGGTTTTTCACTTTACCTGTTCCAGATGCAAGCGTAGAAAAAGAAGAAGAAGAAGAGCTTCGCCTCGCAGGTGTCCGCGGCACCAACGTCCCCTCGTTGCCTCTGGCAGTATGTGTGGTTTTGTTGATACTGGGATATTTATATTTATATATATGTGTATTTATCTTTGTCTGTACTGATTTGTCCCAGCTTGTCTCCTCTGCGGTCTCCGTGAAGAGCGGTGACCGGGAAGTGGCTCGTGCGATCACGGCATCAGTCAATGTGGTTATTGACCCGCGTCAAGATTTTCTGGATGCAAAACGGCGCCTGATGTGACGCGCTGCCTGCCCGCTGCTGTCTCCCTCGTTCTTTGCCTCTCTCCTCTCAGTTTCTGCCTCTCACACTGCGTCAGGCTCCGCTCCCCCTCCTCTCTCTCTCTCTCTCTCTCTCTCTCTCTCTCTCTCTCTCTCTCTCTCTCTATTTCACTGCCTTTGACTCTCACGCTCTCTCTCTCACACACACACACTCACGGGAACAGACGGTGATTAATTCGTTAGAATTCCACCTCTCTCTCCCTCTCTCTCTCTCTTTCCTCTGCTCTCCCTCTGTTTCTATAGCTATGTGCCTCGATCCGTCGCTTCTTCTCTGAACTAAAGCGTCCACCAGCCAGCTGTTCCGGTAGCCAAGAGAGCGAGAGAGAGAGAGAGAGAGAGGGTTGCTTGGCACTTCAAGCGCAGCAGACAGTCATTTAGATTAGATGCTTTCCCATTTGGAGAGCGACATACTGTAGCTGTATAAGTGCTGCACTATCAAACCCAAACCGTGAAAGTTCTTCACGAAACTATATGAAATCCAGCCTGGAGTTCTTTAGAAGACTAGAAGAGCCGTGCAGAATAGCATTAGAGATATACTGTAGTTTGTTTTGGAGTGATAGGATTTCACATTACTGCCTTTTTCTATCTGCACTCCAGCTGCCGCTGCTGGAAGCATCAGGTCTCTGCAGCTGGAGGCGAAGTGACAGAAGCCTACCAGACTGAACAGTTCAATGTTATTTAAGGTTGGCTGTTTGCCTACATGCACTACGGGGCAACCTGATGTCCTGCCAGCAGACATGGTCAGATTAACTGCCTCTTTAGTGCAGGCACACACACACACACATACAGAAACAGACACACACACGTGGGTGTGGATAAATAGCTAAACAACTTAAAAGCGCTATGAATGCTGAAACCACATATCACCACTACAACATGTACTGTGGTCTAAAAAGAGAAGAAGAAAAAATATCAGAGCTTCTGTTAAAAGTCGTGCACATTAAACACACAGTTGGGTGTCCTCTGGCTTATGTTTTGTGTTGCATTAATGGATATGGAAACTATATATAAATCCAGTGACCTAGCGCTACATGGCTGCAGGTGATGGCTGGCATTATAGTGAACCCGAGCCTTGTGACCCTCATCCTGCATGATTGAGTATTTAGGAATTAGGGGCAGATGAGGCTGGGTGGGGGGACAAAGGAAGAAACAGAGGGAAAGACACCTCATTCATTTGCATAAATCCATGCTCGTGTCTGCCTCTGTGGGCATGTGGGGTAAGTAAAATCATACAGGACTGCACAGCAGACCACTCAGGAGCTTTTGTGAATCGCATATTAAATCTCCTGCTTCTGCTGGGTTATTGAGGCAGCTGACCGCTGACCTACTGTATTAAAGCATCCCCACGAGGGACTTAAGTATTGAATGATGAATCACCATATTATTATTGATGGAATAAAAAGGGTGAGTTAAATGACAGAAAACTTAATCAGCATATCAAAGCCACTCTGTGTGTTTTTACTAAAGGATTCTTCAAAATCTGAAGATTGCCTGACTTGGTAGATTTACAGCAGGCAATAACAATGGTCAGAATGAGCCCACAGGGCATTATCGCCTGTGTCCTGATGTCAACATTACATTTAGTTCCCTCCAGCGCCGTGTTTTAGCTTTTCAACTACACTCATTTCTTTCACTCCTTCTGCTCCCATCAGAACTGCGTCCAGATGTATCAGCATCTGTTTCCAGGAGAAAGGCTCTGAAAAGCCCACGGCACACCTACCTTCTCATGCAGCACCAGATTAATGACAAAGTTATCGATTAGCTGGTAAATGTAGCGGAGATTTCAGCAGCTAAAGAGACATTTCCTACACCAGCTGACAAGCAAGCACCGGGCTGACGTTCTTCGGGTGGAAATAAAACAAATCGAATAAATGAGAACATTTCTGCTGGATGCTTCAAAGTGAAGCACACAGTAGTTGTTTTCAAAGCTCATTTGCACTGCACGCAGCGCTAAAAGGAAGATTATTACCTTTAGATGGACAAATCAATGAAATGCAACATAAAGTATTCTTACACCCTCTCTGTATGATTTGCATGTATTATTTGCAGCGATCATCAGTCCGCCTCAGCCTCTTCTTAGATGCCCTCGCACTAAGACTTTGATGATCCTAATTTCCCAACATGCTTTTTCAAACCAAGGTTTGATTATTAGAGGTAAAATGATTTATTCATGACATTAAAGCTTTGATTACACTGTGCGTGATCAGTTTATAGATCTACTAAAACACAATCAGTTCACATGGGAGCTTTTAGCAGAAATCAATATTCAATACCAAACAAACTAAATCCACTCTGATTTGTAATCTATGCAGACTTAAACATATCAAGTGAACCTCAACTAAAAGTTTAGAGTAACTCCATCTATTATTCAAAAGCGACTTTGGTAGGATTATGCTCATATATATATATATATATATATATTTGCTTTGTTGACTGATATCATTTACTGATTGTGTTGCATCATTATTCACTCACACGAGTGGCTAATATTTATCTCTTGTATCAATTGTTCACCGGCTAAATGTTTAAAGACAGAGTGACAAAGATTTAGAGTGACAAACAGTTCAGTTGTTTTCTTACATATGAGGAGATTTATGAAGATTGATATGAAGGTGTATGACTTATAAAGATTTCTTTGTTTCTTTGGAACAAAACTGGAAATGCGTGACATGAAAAGAAAAGAAGAAAGACTTGACTGCTATCAGCCACAATGATATTTTCACTAAGTATCAGCAGAGAGTTTTATAATCTGTGTGTGTTGTTATAAAGCACCCCTGCTTTATCCAGATTTCACAAAATTATTTCAGTGCTTTTTTGTTTTGTTTTTGTTTTTTGCTTCAAAAGTTCCAAAAGTTTAAACGAAGGGCAAAAATTCTTGAACTCTTGAATAAAATAGTCAAGATGCATAATCAAATTGATTCACTGTAAAAACAAGTGAGTCATACTTCTGGTGTTAGTTTGGCAGTATCTTTTTTTCTCCCCACAACACAGTGACTTTCAAAAACACCTGGACCACTATGCAGTAGTTCACTAAATCCGCCCTGCACTGTGGTCGACTGTGGATATAAAATACATCACTTCCTGTGTGACTGTTGAAAGCCAGTGGGACATTTTGAAACTGAGCCATGGACACCTCGAACCTGCTGTAAAAGTGTCTCGCTTCGAGACCTTTACAACTAAGCATATTTAAGAGATGTTGTGTCACATTAAGGTATTTAACAACACGTTTTTCCTTTGGACAAAGGCCAGTAACCAGGATAGCTGCTGATCATGGTTGGATGTCTCCTGTGAGCATCTTTTCAAGAAACTCAAAGAGCCGCTGTCCCAGTTTCATGACTTTGAGTTGAGCACTGCATGTGAATGTTCACCTACAGTATGTTTCTGTGTATCAATTAAACATCATCTTATTGAGCCTAATGTGTCAGAACACTGCAGAGGCCATTCTGTCGCTTTAGCAGATTGTTATTTGATTAATTGTCCGTCGAGGTGTCGTCTGAGATGCTGACTCTTTCTGTACTCTCAGTGACAGCTGAGCAAATTCACTCTGTGTATGCATGCACGTATTACAGGGTCAGGAACTAACCTGCTAGTTCAACATGACTTCTATTTATAACTGAGTGAAGTTTTATAATTAGTTTTAAATGCATGTGTGATGTGTTTACATCTGTATGCACAATTCTTCCAGATAACCATGATTTTGTGTTTTTTGTCCAAAAGCAAACTCAGCAAAGCTCGTAAAATATCTTAGGCAGCTGTGAAGGCGACTTGAATCAGGTCCGTCACTTTTTTCTAGAGTGACCAACAATAATATTGGAGAAGCTAGATTCATGGGTGAATCATTAATTGTTTTAAAATGAATGACTGAACGACTGATTGATCATCTGACTGTTAAATTGGGAGAAATTGGGTGGTTGTTACATTTACAAGAGTTTAACTTGTAATTTGAACCAAATAATTTCATGTTTCTATGTTAAATGTAATTAAAACATGTAAAATATGCATGAAATTCAAAAACTTAACACCTGTTAAATGTATTCTTGTTGTGATGACATGATACAATCTAGTAAGAGTGGATAGTTGCCTAGACTCGCGATATTCAAACCACAGGAAAATCACTGTGGATATTGTTATTTATTGTGGTTTGACCAGTCAAGGACACAAATATAAAGAAAATTCTCTATCAAGCCTCGTAATCATTGATTTCCTACTTTTCTTAACTATGACGGCTCAGTGGTGCAGTTGTTAGCACTGTTGCCGCACAGCAAGAAGGTCCTGAATTTGAATCTACCTTTCTGTGTAGAGTTTGCATCTTCTCCCCATGTTTGTGGTGGTTCTCTCCAGGTACTCCAGCTTCCTCCCACAGTCCAAAGAAATGCAAGTAGTGGAGTTAAGTTAATTGGTGATTCTAAATTAACCATAAGTGTGAATGTGAGCGAATGTGGCTCATTTAAGCACAGAAATGGCACCTAAATCAAGAGATGAAACAGTGTTCCATCTACAGCTAACACAGAACTTAGGAAAGGTTCTAGGAAAAGATGCTAGAAAGGATGTTGGATATGGAGCTGCCAGGCAGGAGGAAAGAGGAAGATCTCAGAGGAGGTTCATGGATCTAGTGAAGGAGGACATGCAAATGGTTGGTTTGACAGAGGTGCATGCAAGGGACAGGGTAGGATGGAGGCAGATACCTGCTGTGGAGACCACTAAAGATGAGGACATAGAGGAGACAGAAGATTTTAGTCACTTTGTTAGTAGCAGCCTATCTAAAAAAAAGAGAGATGAATCCATAAAAAGTCCCATAGATAACACAGTTTGACACCATAAAACAGTATTTTTGTACTGCATAATGTGCATCGTGCCTTTAGGAATTTGAGAAAGCTGGACAAATAGTCAAAAGACAAAGTGGTAAGCCTTAAAAAAAACTACAACAGATGAACAGTATCAAAATAGTAAAAGATCAAGCAAAGACCAGGACCCAAGAGATGCATCTTTCCCTTCACTTGAGCAAGCTTTTGTTTACAAAAGCCTG